AAAAAACAATGACAGTATCATATAAATATGGACAATTCTATTAACTCAGAGATTACAGAGTAATTATTGATATTACTAGTTATAGTTCCACACCGGACATTGGGTGACTCGACTCCAATAAAACCTCGAGAGTCCTCTCTCGGAGAGAAGGTGGACAACACTTTTCGAGAAATTTAAGCAATCGTATCGATCGATTACAATTTATACAAGAAATAAGACGCGCCAGGTCCTGCTCTTCTTTTTCGAAATTTTACTCTTTTACCTCAGAACTCTTCTAAGTTTACCCTATGAAATTAAATTTTTTCCGCCCTCACATGTACTTCTTATACCCGTTTTTGTCGACACTAACCGAGAGAGCTCGTCTTCTCTTCCCCCCCCAGGATGGGGCAAGCACGGCAATATAATAGGTAGACGACCGAGGAGGGGCGGTCGGCGAGCGTGAGCAGGAGAATACAGGCAACCAACTAAATTTGTCTCCTAACATGAAAAGTGAAGTTATACGAATGTGCGCCGAAAAGAGGAGGTATAAAGAGAAAGTAGTGAAGTACATTGTGAAGCTTTACGCAATTAGTTATGAGATTTTGTATGTCTTTTTGAATGCCGACCAACCAAAGGCCTACAAAGTGTACGCATGCGAGCAGCACATTTGTTATTACCTATAAGTTTATTGACTGAAAGTAAATATAAGTCGTAAGCCATCAATAGAGCTGTAGATACAACATCACAATTTAGTCATCCAAGCAAAAACGTGGTAGGTACAGTAAAGCGATGATGTTAAGTGGAGAAATCCTTTAGCTATATAATCGGCATACGATTTACGATTGGCATCTACTTCCTAAAAGTCTTATTTTCGAATGACGACACGTGGTTCTTAAAGACCAAAAAGAAAAATAACAAGAATAGAGTTTGAAAGGGAGTGATTTGTAAAATATCCCAAAGAAAAATCTGTCATTGTCAGATGGTATATTACGCTGTTTTTTTTCTGCTTCGAATAGTTCTCTCTTTTTTCACCATACCTGTGTTTGCATCACTGATTAAAGAAATGGTAGAAATGATTCTAATCAGAATTTTGAAACCTTCCTTCCTTCCCTCCCTCTAAATATATCAATAAGGATGTGATGTTCTTGACTCATACAAGTTTAAGAAGATAATATTTGTTTTAAAGAATTAAAAGCAATAAACAACAGCAACAGGCTCTGTAACCAAGGCAACGTTAGCCTAACATGTATGTTAACAGGTAAGATAGCTGTTCACACTATCCATGTATATTTTCTACTTTTTGCAATGCTATGTTATTTCTATTTAAGATGTTTACATTTTCGATTGTTTAATTCTAGTCTTTTAACTGTCTAATGTACAATGCCTTGTCTTTTGCTGCTGCCGCGTTAACATTTCCCCAATTGGTATCAATAAAGTACTTCTTATTTTGTCTTAATCCTCAAATATTAGCACATTTTACTTAAAAAAAACAAAACACATTGATGTAACTACATACACATATCGATATGTTGTATACATATTGTAAATCAAAACCTTTATTGACCAAAAATTGCATTTCTATCCTGTTATTAATGCATTCAAATCGTGATTCAAATGGCCCGCCACAAACTTCCGGGAACTTTCTGAGTCTCTCTGAACCACGTGACAATCAAGCATTTTGGACTTCCGCTGTCGCAACTCTTCTCTCTACATGGTGCTGGACCAGCCAATCAGAATTGAACTTCTCGAGTTCTCCGATTGGTTGGTTTCGTGGCACATTTGTAACGCTGTGACAACTTGAGCGAGCAGGCAGGCAAAGCTGAGCGCGCACAGGGTGGAGAGGTCGAGCGAGCGAGGGAGAGAGAGCGCGTGCAGCGGTCTGCTTGCGCACGGAGCAGGAGTTTTATGAGAGAAAATATATTTCTCTGTGCTCAAAAATGTTCAAGTGTGCGCTCAATCGCATTTTCTATGCTCAACATGTTTCATTGCGTGCTCAGGATAGAGGCACAAATATAACGCCATACAGAGGCACAAATATAACGCCATACAGGGGAGGGACAACTGATTTAGTATGAATAGCTGCTAAAAATGTACTTGCATTTATTAAATGTCAGCTAAAAGAGCAGTGAAATGAAAAACCTCTTCATTTTCTGTGAAGATATCAACAGTACTTAATGTCAGCAAAACATTACAATTATATTTACAATGGACTACGCTTAGCTAACAGACTAATTTCCACCACTCATGGACCACACCCACCTTTTCTTTTCAAAACTGGGGACTACTGTCAGCCCTTTAGCCTCCCTCTGTTGTCTTTCTCTCCTTTTCTTTTCTTTTTTTGAAGCTTACTTTGTTAGTCGTTGTTACAGATGGACATTCACGTAAGTACTAGCATCACTTCTCACATGCTCTCACTCTCACTCTGCCGAAAGTGGGTGCGGCACAGCGTTGGAGGCAGGACCAAACATTACATCTAAAATAAGAGGGGGGTGTACGGAGGCTTTGGATGGTTAACTTTGGAGAAAAAAGTTAAATGATATCGTAAGTAGTTGTATTTACATTCATCATTCAACGTTATATTAATGTTAATTATTGATGATTGATGAAAGGTTACTAAATATCATTTTTCTTAATGTTCTAAACATTTTGGGGCCCCTGTCAGTCAGGCCCTTAGAATCGTCCTAACTTTTCACCCCCTGTACGGCGCCCCTGCACTGTGTGGTGGAGAGAATGAATACTGACCTACATATATTCAAGAAGGTGGGTAACTTATTCCTTCAAACCGGATGTTTGTGTAATATTCGTATTTCATTTTACTCTAAATGGGACCATCATTTACAAAGACAATATAAATGTTGATTTTCATATATTTATTGTGGAACTAAAGTCATGTGAGGTGGTAGGTCATTTTCTTAAAGATTCCAATATGATTAGACACTTTTTTGCAACCAGTTTGGCTAATTGAAAATAATGCAGTCTGAGCACTTATTGGTTCCAGAAAGTTGCCGCTTGAGCTGTTTGGAAGGATTACAGCTTACGTACCTTCACTTAGTTATATTGCATTACATGACATTAAATTAGATGTTACTTGTGTAGACTCTTTTATCCAAAGCGACTTACAACTCAATACTGTAGACAATCCCCCACTGGGAGCCATTTTGGGTGGAGTGTCTTGCCCCAGGGACACAACGTCATGCTGACTGCAGTGGAACCTGTGTTCCCCTGACCCACTGCGCCACACGGCCTCCCGGCGTTATTTATGTCTGAATGAGCTGTACATTAGGCGTGTTCACACCGCGAGTCTTTTCCCACTTAGTCCGAAAAGTTTCTGAAATTCCCACACCAAAAAAACCAACAAAATTAGTTCATCAGAACCTTTTTACCCGCCTTTTCCGTCCCTGCTAGAGAAGCAGGTACTTCGTGGGAGAAAAGTTCCCATGTCTGGCTGGGCAGGAATGCGAAAACCACGCCCCGGTAAAACAAAACAAAAAAATGGTGAAGCCGCCATTTGTATATCCTCGCATTAGCATATTAGCTTGGCATGTAGCCCAGCGCCACAAACGCAGAGAGAGGTAACTTATGGCACACACGATAAAGAAAACATGGGAGCTGGAATGAGAGGTGTCGCGTTCTGCGATGTTACTACTGAAGCCAGTCCCCAACTCCGGGTGACTTCCGGCCGGGCACTTCGGGTGGCAGTATACGCCGTGAAAGTGTTTGGGGCGCCTGCCGAGTAAACCCAAAAGCAGAGAAGAGAAGTGAATTACGGCTTCATTTGCCTAATCCTCCCCAGGAACTTATTCCGGTGGAACGCAGTCGTATGCGAAATGAAATAAACAGTTCTCAAGTGAACTAAGTGTCAGTAAGCCTGAAAATACTGTGAGCGTAGAAGCGGCCGTAGTAAATTGCGAGAATGAAGGAAAGCGTGTGTACATTATCAACTGGATACTCAGGCGATGAACATTGTGTCGAGAAGATTGACGCCCTTAGGTGGTGATGATTCTCCATGATTGATCAGCCTACAGACAAGACTATCAAGATGCTGCCTTAGTTGTGTCCAATTTTTCCATGAATGTTTGTAACCACCAATTGTCACGTGTGTACACCTGTGGTCGAAAAATACAGAATGCTGTTTCCTTTATTGTATTAGCCTACTACTTGGCTGAGGATTGAGTATTGAAAGTGTGGATGAGATTGTTGATGATGTTGGAAATTGTTGATGATATTGGTGATGTTGTTAATGTTGTTAATGATGTCAGGAATTATGTCTTGAATGTTGTTGTCATTATTGTTGTATTATTGTTGTATGTTTTAAGTGTCCGGACCCCAGGAAGATTAGCTTGGCAAGTAGCAAAAGCTAATGGGCGATCCTTCTTAATAAACACTAAACATCAAACTAAATTGGCTGTCATGTGGCATGTACCCAAGAGATCATTTAGGCGCCTGTAGGATTGAAAGGACATTTTATAATTCATTGGTGAACGATGAATCCTAAAGACTTTCGGTGATTCTCTGACTTCTTACTTTGGAGCTGACCCTTTTTGAAGTTTTCTCGCAATTTTTATCGAGTTCCCTAATTATTCCCTTAAATCCCACTTTATTAGTGTAGGAGTGCTTTAACATTGGAAAAAGTCTCTCTTGTATTGCCATCACTGAAAGGGACATGAAGCAAGGAATGATGGGGTTGCGGCTTGGTTGCCCTCAGGGATGTAGATTTGTCTAACCAAGTCAGTTTGATATAATATTTAGTATGTTTGTTCTAACCGTTTATAATGTTGTGTTCAATCGTGTAAAAACTTGTCACATGCTTTNCGAATCCTCAGTTTATGATTTATAACAACATACTAACAAGCTAAGGTCTAATTACGCAACCAACTCTCACTGCATTTCCTGTTATAGTCACAAAGAAATGTAATCTATTGATTCGTGTTTGTTTTCATCTGTTTTCAAATAAGCAAAGTCTTGGTTTTCAGAATATTAAACTTGTTTCAGCAAATTCAGATGATAAATACAACTTTGAAGCTTGTGACGGCATAATTACAAGCAGAGAACGGACTAATGTAACATCACAGCAAGCATAACAAGCCGGTGTTTCTTGTGAGTGTTTCCCCGGTACACAAACGCAAAAATACACAAACACACTCGCGAGCTTCCCCCAGACCAGTAATACAAACGAAAATGTGTCTTCGCGTCAATGTGACTGATTTCGATAGAGCAAGTCACATTTGGTTTAGGCACGAAACATACTACCAGTAGAAATACATTGCTTTCAAAATCGCTCTGTGTCGAATCAATAGATTATATTTCGTGACTATAACACGAAATGCTGTGAGACTGGGTTGAATTGAAAGTGAGTGCTTCATCCTCTGAACACCACACGAATGGCGACTGTAACGCTCATAACATAGGTACGCTCCTCTGAAATGATTGTCCCCTGCAATTATTATTATCCCTCATCGAGTTCGCTATTCAGCTCGTTAGCTTAAACAAACGTAACATGCAACGTTAGCCTAATCTAAAATGCTCTACTACGGCGTACCTTTCATGTGGCTCGTCAGCGCAGACTCTCGCATCGTTATTTTTGCAAACTTTGCAGGAGGCTACTCGTGGGCTTGACCCTCGTCTTAGCCATGGCTTGTATTTGTCTTCTGCTAGCCAACGCTCGTTGAAACGGCAACCTCCTGGCACACTGTCATCTATCACTCTCATCAGAATGCCCAGGTCACACGTAACACAAACACTTGCAGGTCGCGCGCATAGCGCGGGAAGGCCGGAGCGGAGCTGTTTTATGTAGAAGCGAAGCAATTATTTTCTTTTAATCTAAAAAGCGAACTATTCAGTCAGACAGCAATTTATTGTAAAAGTAAAGCATTTACATTTTCAAGCACTTTATCTCAATTTCAAGCACCATTCCCAAAATTCAAGCACTTTCTCAACCTTGAAAACACCACGTCAAATTTCAAGCATTTTCAAGGATTTCAAGCACCCGTACGAACCCTGAGAGAGCTGTTTTCAAAGTCTCTATGTTGTAAACTCCTTCTTTGTTTTTGGTGCTTTATGAGTGAAAAACAGGTCAAAAAGTGCTTAATTTGTCATGATATGAGATTTAATCTGTTTCAATTATACTGTGAAGATGGTCCCAAGCTATTTTAAATCAAGAGGCAGCTCCATTTTATAACTAATTTGTTTCGTGTTTTAAAAATGTTACCATACGCATCATCATTTGGAAATGAAATACATTTTTTTATTTTAATGGACATACATTCACAGTATTGCTCATTTACTTCCAAGGAGTTTACGTAACTAATAAGTGATTTCATTTAAAAAAAAAAAAAATCAATTTTGTCCTCGTGCAACAAATACAATATGGCCGCCATGTTTTTAAGCCTCTCCATCGGCTGAAAACACAGCCTCCTGCCTTCTTTCTCAGACAGGCCTCCGTTGTCATGGTAACATGCTATGGCGCAGCACTTATTGGGATTCAGCCTGATAGCAAATGAGTGTGTTTAGCTGTCCGGGTGTTCGGTCCCCTCTCTCCCACAAACATCCTGCCCTCTCTGAGAACCTGCCGCTCGCAGCCGTCCACAGAGCGACGAGGTTTGCCTTTGTCTCTGCCTCAATGTACTTTGTGTGTGTGTGTGTGTGTGTGTGTGTGTGTGTGTGTGTGTGTGTGTGTGTGTGTGTGTGTGTGTGTGTGTGTGTGTGTGTGTGTGTGTGTGTGTGTGTGTCTTTGTCTGCAGCAGAAATGCTACCCAAAGGACTTTCTCATCTGATAACAGCAAATGATGCTTTCAACTGATTTCTGCTGTTTACATAAACGTTTTTTCATCTATGTGGCTTTTTTTACTTAACCACTGTAATTTTTCAGACTTTACACCAGTATTGTTGTGTATTGTATAACACATGCTGAGCGGAAATGTTTAGGATTGTGCCACACCCACCCTACACTTTCCCTTCAAAGCTCATGTGATATTATTTTTCTTTTTAAGTCTCAAACTGTGAAATAAAAATCCCCACACAGTGAACCACAAACCAAGAAAATTACAGTATAGTATAGACACAGTGTTGTCAAACAAAGAGCGAAACGTCAAAGCAAAAGCCACTTCACGCTTCTCTGCAAAGTGCACTTCCGCTCAGAAACAGGTAACGAATTGAGGGAAACCGTGCAAACATACCTTAGAAAATCTGAGAGAATGATGCACGGCGAACAGGAAACGGTGTCATGCAGTGTCCCTTCTCTAAAGCCCTCAATATACAAACTATACGTGAAAAACAGTTTTTTGAGAGCAAAGCGAAAGTAGTTTTCTTTCTATGATGGTCGCTGAACAGTGGTGCTGTCAGAAGCAGATCTTTTTCTGACGTCTGTCTTCCTCTCCCTCCCTCTCTATCTGCAGATGACTCCCGTTTCACCGTCCTTCGCCTCTCTCCATGCAGCCTGGGTCCTGAGCTACATCTACCCTGCCGTCCTCTGGCTCTCCATCTCCTGTCCTACTACACCAACAACTCGCAGTTCATACGGCATGTAGCTAAACCGGAGTATGGGTCTGGCTCTTCGTGCTAGCTGGGCAACTGAAGCGTTCGTTGTGGAGCCACTGAACAGGAAGCTGCAACTTTTATTAAGCGTGGCAGAGGAGTGTAGGGAGAGCGGAGAGATGCTGGGTGCTACATCACACATCAGCTCTGTGCTCAATGATACAGCCTGATAGAAAGCGCTCAGCTGCATTGCTGGTGGCAGCGCAGAGTGAGGGGCACGCTGCTGTACTAATGCTGAATTAAATATCTCCAGCAGTATCCCGCTGCATCCATGTTGACCAGAAGGAACAACGTCATTTGCATGAAATAAAATCATCTCACATGCACCTTGAATGCATAACGCTGCACCATCTGCTTCATGCACACATCGTGTTTCCGTGCAGCAATATGTAACACCAAAGCCTGTGCTTACGCAGACACTGTGGTTAGGTAATGCAGAGCCAGAGAGAGGACGGATGTTCATCGATGCTTTTTCTCACTATCGCAGTGAGCTTGCAAACAACAGTCCTGTTATTAGAGGGGATTCTCAGTGTACCTATATAGAGGCTGCTGATTGATGCAAAGGCAGCAGATGCGTCAGCACTGCAGACGAGGGGGAGGGGAGGAGGCTGAACCCGACGTGGCACTGTGAACCTCTCGCTAGCCTCTGAGGACACAAGCAGCTCTTTAATTTACACAACTGAGTGCAGTCATATCACTGTGTGGTCTTTCCTAATGCTGGCTGAGACCCACCTTACAACAGTTTGAAATCAAGTGCATTTCTTGTACCAATAACTTCAAAAGACTGAGTAGCAGGTGCCATATCATTATGCAGGCTCGTACTCACTGCCCTAAAGGAAGGAAATAAGCTATTCATGGGGTGTTTGTGCTTTTGATCTTAGCTTCTGTTATGTCCTGTTCCTTCTTCTGTACATTACATTGTGTTGGTTTCGTGATGCACAAATACTCAGTCTTCTATTTTTGCTGCAGACAGCCTCCTTGAAGACCCCTATATTAGCCTGGGCAGCAGCCAGAGTACTAAGTACTAAATAAGAATCCAACGCAAAAGTGGCTTCAGTACATACTTTCTATAACTGGAGCTATACAAGCTGTGGAAACCTAGGAGGGGGGGTCTGGCTAGAATAGAAGTGGGATGCAGCAACCACCACAGCTGATTGATTAACAGAGGCTGCTGTCAGTCAAGCATGTCAATGTCATAGAAATAACGTTTACGTCACAGCAAAGACAGACATAATATGAAGTCACATGAACAAACAACACCCAAAATATTGTGAAGGGATAGGAGTAGTTGGAGGTTAACTCTAGTTATATGTATGTCAAGCCAAACCAGGTTTTATTTAAAGATAATATATACAGTTTTATATTTGTAACATTTAACATGGCGTTTCTTTTATTAGTAACTCTGATGATTTGAACTGGATGCAGGTTTTGATGGTGGGCAGACTGATCATTTGTCAACAACCTAGTGGTCTTTCTAACATAAAACAATCCCTTAACATTGCCTGTACGCTATGTACGACATATAATTGTCCAATAATTCATGTAAGCCGAAGTTCATCTGCATTAAGCCAAGGAAATAAAGGCTTTTAAATGATTTTTAACTCCTACATATGGTGGACTATTCAGCCATTGTATTTTGAACTGCCTGGGCCATCCTAAATATGTTCCATAATCTAGGGTTGACAGAATTGAGAACCATTATTCAAGCTATGTTAATTAAGCTTTGTTAGTTTAATGGTTTTCAACATAACACAATACTAAAACAATTGTAATAATGCATGTAAACTGAAAGGCATTTGCGCTCATCTAGCATACACGGTCCACGGGATTGAGAACCATTAGTAAAGCTTTACTTTTTCAAAGAACTGAGAAATCGTTCCAAATTGGAATCAAATCACGGTCATTACTGAAAGCTGAAATTTGAAATACTTTGTAAGCAAAACCTTGTTCGTCACACTTGTCATCGCAGCTAGTTTGTGTCAGGATATACAGGCCTGTGATGCTCCGTAAGCTACAGCCTGTAGAGACGTCGATCAGCGGGGAGGAAGAGCAGGCCTCATCCTCATTCTCAACGCATTCACACTCTTAGCATAGAAAGACATTCATCCCTGGTAGCATTTATGTGACTGCCATTACCCGCACTCACACTTTGAGTCGCCTACGAAGATGTCTCTGTGTGGAAGGTCTTGTCTCTGTGGAAGTCTCTCTGGTGTTTGTTTAGGAGGAAAAAGACATTGACTATTACCCGGCTGCCGTTCTCCCTTTGGAACCAGATCAGACCTTCATCATCCTCGCTCTTCCCGTCTGTGTATTCTGGTTTCCTGATTGGACTGTGTTGAGCTGTCTTCTGGAGGGCTGCTGCCACTGCTGCGTCACTCCCGCTGCATCCCTGACCCACAAAGAGGAGCTGTGAAGGAGGGGTGTGTGGAGGCAAAGGATAAGCTGGAAAGAACGGCTGTACACCGCTCCAGCAAACAAATGGATGAGGCTTCCGCTCTGCCTCGGTTTGGGGCCTAGTTGCTGCGACGGTATTCAGGAAGTGGCTCTGGGAGACAGATCCTTTATTGTTACGTAATGAATATTTTTCCTCCTAGACCAGACTCGGCTCAGAAGGCGGTATCCAATGTTCAGTAGCTAATAATAGGCCATAGTGGCGACCAGTCGAGACTGTACGCAGTTATGTCAGATCATTCCAACACCTAGCTATCATTTGGATGGAAGACTATTTAATATTGAGGGGAGTTCTAAAATAACACAGGAAAACCACACAATCTTCGCGTCGCTTAACACCGGACAATTACTAATGCTTGTGTTTCTATTTTTGTCATCCTTTAGTGACAATAAGAATCAAAGACAGTATTTAAGACTGTCTTGCTAACATTTATTGTACCATATGTTGTCCACTAAGGTACCTGTTAGAAAAAGAAGCAGTGCATACCTTAGTCTTAGGTTACTGTAGTTGGCTTGTACAGGTTTCAGTTGAGGTAGGACCGGTGTAGCTGATGCCCCTACAGAGCTGTTTGTGCAATCCAGAAAAGTGTGTTCTGGTCTATAGGCCTGGACATGGTTACCAGAATTACTTGTTTTGCACACGTTACCTAAGGGTTTATTTGCTTATCTTCCTCCTCCCATCATCTGACTCTAGTTTTCATTGCCATGTTGCTCCCTCTGCTGGCTGCACACATGACAAGCACAGAGACCATGTTAAACCCAGGCTGGCTGTAAGCAAAGAGGGGCCGTTTCTCAATCGCGAGGATACTTGCTTGGTAGTCGCATACTTCCAAGTCACTTCCTTCAGAAACGAAGCAAGTATACTTCCAAGCCACGGCTTCGGAAAACAAAGAAGAATGGAACAGGCTAACAAGTGTGCCACTCTCTCTAACGGTTTCAACATAAACTGTACCGAAAATAAATACCTCATGATGTCTATCTAATTATGAACTTGCTTTACTTTCACGGAACACATTTTTGGTGATAACAAATGTAACAAAGTAACATATTTAACACATGTTCTACGCCACTACACACTTACATTTAAATGTGTGCTGTGCTGCGTTGGTTCAGCCATTCTCCTCAAGGGTTTTTGAAATTGGTCCGTGCGCAAAGCATTGTGGCGATTTGAAGGACGCGAAGTCTACCCATGTGCAGCCTCGAAATTACCCCCAAACCAAGGACGTGGCCTCGGTGGAATTCCAAGTATACTGGAGATTGGAACAGTCCTTTGGCGGCACTCGATGACGTAGTATCCTTGAAATATTGTCTTGGAAGCCAGTTTCCTCGCGATTGAGAAACGGCCTCAGAGTAGGCCCTGCTGCCCGCAGGTGCATAAGGGTGCATTGCACCCTCAGTTGAGTCGTTATGCACCCTCTATTTAGAAAAAATAGAAAAAGTAGAAAAAGAAAGAAGAAAAGTGAAACATATTACATATATAATAATAATAATAATAATAA